TCTCCCCTGATTGGGTCGATTTGGTGATGGGGAGTATGATGTTGAAAGACCCGAAAACCCCCTGATGAACCAAGTCAAATAACATCCCTGACGACCCCACCTCCGGGCGCCTAATTAAGAGCGTATTTTTTAATTATTTGAATTATATATATATATATATATATATATATATATATATATATATATATATATATATATATATATATATATATATTTCTTCCGTAACCAAATGAGCCATAACTATTGATTAAAGAGTCATTAAAAATACAATTCTGGTTACATGTCTGTTAACCTTCCAACCTAAGAATCATTTCACCCCAATCAAGTCTAGAATGCTACTAGTATGAAGGGAGCTACAGTTTGTTCTCCTTTTTTATATAAACTGTAGTGAAACAAAGTTCTCATTGTCTATATGTTATGACCGTTTTTTGGGGTTTTTTTTTTTTTTTTTTGTTAGCCCAGACGCTACGGTAAGTATAAGCATCGTTATAATGGTCGAGCTCTAGTCAGCCTTGCGCTGAGTTAAAACGACTAAAGAAAGGTTGGGCTGACTTCATCTTTGGAGTTTTTGGCAAAACACGTGCGAAAGATATGCGTTTGGCACTGAATTTCTTTTTCTCGTTCAGAAGTTCGGGCAAGTCATAAGCATGGTCGAAAGATTTCGTAGAAAATATGTATCCTTGAAATTTCCCGAACATTCAGGCCGGCAAATGTAATTAATATTGTTGAATTAAAAGAACAGAGCATTTACTCAAATAAGTGTATCCATAAAAAAAAACAACGTATAAACAGCAAATATATTATTATATATTTGTCTCATTTAATGCATTTTAATATATATATATATATATATATATATATATATATATATATATATATATATATATATATATATATATATATATATATATATATATATATATATATGTGCTTGGGAATTTATGCATTCAGCAGAAATTAATGACTAAAAAAATATCACGTTTTAAAAGGTGAAAATTTAGACACGTTCCTTGTAATAGAATAATTTTATTATTCAGGGGAGGTAACTAGAAACTTTTTTGAGTTATCTCCCTTATAACACGACCTCTCGATGATAAGATGTTCTTTTAATAAATCCATATAATATAATCAACCTTCTATTAGTACTGTGCATAGAACCGAATTATCCTTTAGGCTCGTATAGGTTGCAACCAAGGGCCCCTCAAGCTTTTATAAAGCAGTAATTTTAATTGTCTAGACGTTATAACTTCTGAATAGTTTCGTAAACGGAAATGATGTCAATTTGACAAATTCATGTTTATTTTGTTTTATTGTTCTAATGCTGGTTATTAAAAAAAATCTGTTTTGTTTTTTAACCACTGACTGTTGTGTCGAAATATGTGCTAATTTGGTTTGCAATAATTAATAAAATAATAGTGTTTCTTAAAGAATATTTTTATTACCAAACAAAAACTTATTCTAGTTTATTTAAAGTATTTGCAACAAGTTTATTTCAAGCTATGTAAATGTCGCTAAAATATATTACAAGTAAAAAATATTCAAGATGGGCGCCGATGAGTTAGAGGGTGACTCTGTCTGACGTGCGAGCATAATTTCATTAGCCTAGGGGCCCTAAAAGTTTATAATCTGGCCCTGACTGTGGAGTGTTGTCACAGAATTAGTAACAAAGTCTTCATTCTTCAGACATTCCATTTAGAATATTATAAACATATCATTTAGTTATATATTTTCTTCAGTGAAGTTTCTGATTTTGAAATCAAAATTAAAGAAATGTAAAATATGAGAGCAGCTTTTATTTTGAAAATCGAATTAAAAAGCTGAAATTAAAAAATGAATTTATAAGTTTCAGAAATTCAAACATTAAAAAATAGGTTTAATCTTATTTTCGTATGTAGTCTCCTGTAGAATTGTTTTCATATTCCAAGCGATTAAAAAGAAAGCCGTAATCTTTGCATATGTTCCTACCACAATTACTGCAAAGAGTCTTTAATTTACGGCCAGATGCTTGTAATTCATACAAATTTTATGACTAAACCAGAAACTCCTTGTAGTTACTTGACGGAGGTATTCAGAAATCTATTTGACTAATCATGAAAATTTAACTTTCCACTTGCTAAATATTAAAGAAATTATTTTATGGGGTGTTCAAATACCCCACGGTACTAACGTGGGGTTAAATCAGCTCGTTGAACAAGATAGCAAATGTAATTTTTTCTATTTTCTTTATGTGTTTTAATGTCTTAATAATAATTTATGATTGACTATACATCGACCGCTAAATTAAATTGTGATTTTAAACATGTTCCCCCAAAGTTATTTTTGTTACTTTGGGGCGGGGGGGACAATGTCTGCCGTAATTTATCCGGGGGGTGCTGTCGATGTGAAGGGACCTTTGACTTGAACGTGTCTTTTCCTCTCGGATGAATGGTGACACATCCGAGGGTGACATATCTTTCTCAGACGTATTGTTGCTATCTGGAGATGATGAATACTGTCGACTGAACTTCGGTTCCAAACTTTTGAAATATCCGTTTTCGGTATGTACGTTCAAATGCAAATTCAATTAATCTTACCTACTCAAAAGCTTTAAGGGTTTTGTTAGCCATTATTTGTTTTTGATTATTGCTTTCTTTGCCTTTCTGAGAAAGTTCTAGGCATCCGTAACCAGAAAGCAAGGAGAATAGAAATTTGGTTCTTGGTTCTTGGAGACATATATATATATATATATATATATATATATATATATATATATATATATAGGTGCTACAAAAGTAACACTGCGTCCTGGGTATGACGATAAACTACACCCGCGTCCTGGGGATGACGATAAACTACACCCGCGTCCTGGGTATGACGATAAACTACATCCGCGTCCTGGGTAAGACGATAAACTACGTCCAACAGCAAGGCCTCTGATAATACGTTTTTGAAAAAATAATGTTGCCAGCTGTACGTTTTGGGAAAAAAAATATTACCAGCTATACGTTTTTTTTAAAAGAATAGTGTTGCTGGCTATACATTTTTGAAAAAATGATATTACCAGCTATACGTTTTATGAAAAAATAATATTACCAGCTATACGTTTTTGAAAAAATAATATTACCAGCTATACGTTTTTTTTTTAAAGAATAGTGTTGCCAGCTATACATTTTTGAAAAAATGATATTACCAGCTATACGTTTTATGAAAAAATAATATTACCAGCTATACGTTTTTGAAAAAATAATATTACCAGCTATACGTTTTTGAAAAAATAGTATTACCAGCTAAACGTTTTCGGAAAAATAGTATTACCAGCTATACGTTCTTGAAAAAATAATATTACCAGCTATACATATTTTCGGAAAAAAGATATTAACAGAAATAGATTTTTGACAAAACAAAAATATTACCAGGAAAAAAAAAGTTGTCGGCATCAAATGACCCATTGAGATTGATATGCCATAAAACAAAACAAAACAAAGTAACACTATTTTTTACGTTTTATTGAACGAAAATAGAGTAGTTTTAGGTGGCTTAAAATTAAAACTATGGTTTATGCATTCGGGACTGCTTAAAGCTTAATTTTGAGCTGAGGTGGATAGGGCAACGTGGAGACATTGAGTGGCCGCCATTCCGATCACCAGATCGAACACTAACAAACGTTTTCTTGTTGGGTGTACTGGAAAATCTTGTTTACAGATTTCAACTGAAAACAACAACTCAATTAAATCAAGCAATTTCTGATAATTTAACGTAAGAAAGATGTCAAATGGTTTGTAGAAGTGTTGCCGATTGGGTCCACTGTTGTATTAAACATAAAGAGGAGCATTTTGAACATGTTAAATAGCTCGTTAACCATAACAAATCATATTGTTTTGATGTGATATCAAACTACTGCAATTTATTTTTCTTCAATAAAAGTTGATAAATAAAAAAGGCCGTTAGTTTTGCCGCACACTGCACTTCATCATTACACTTAAAGTAATGTTAATAGAAGCACGTCCTGATGTCTGCATGAAAGCTAAGTAATTATGTAATTTATGTACACACAATATTAAAGTGTGTGAGTCCACCCATTCTGCTCTTTTGTGTCCAGGACGTTAGCAATCATGGCTCTCCACAACTTCCTATCCATTGCAACTTTGAGCAATTATTGTCTTTTAACTATCCCCACTCACTGCTTTGCCATCCATTTACACAAGATCGCTATGTGGGTTACATGCTGTTTGCCTCTGTCCCTCTTGACTTGAATATATCCTCTGGGTGTTAAATTTTCCAAGCCTTCTTTCCTCATTAGCTGTCTTAGAAATATCTCTTTCAGATTCTAAACATACGCGCCTTTTTTGTTTTCATTTTCCTTAAGACTTCCTTCTCACTTACATGCTTGCCTATAGTATTCTCATCATCCTTCTGTAGAACCACATCTCTGTTGTCACAAGTATCTTCCTCATTTGTGAGGAAATTGTCCAGCATTCACTACCATGTAGGTGGATTGATATTACATAGCAGTTCAGCCCTCTTTTCTATCTCTTTTCTAACAACATTTTCCTATCTCTTAATACTTTGCTTAGTTTCTGAAAGACATGAGGAGATTGTCCAGCGTTTACTGCCATATAGGAGATTAGATATTACAGAACAGTTCAACACTCTTTTCTTTGTTTCTAACGACATTTTCCTATCTCTTAATACTTTGCTTAGTTTCTGAAAGCCATGAAGCGATTATCCAGCATTCACTGTCATATAGGAGATTAGATATTACCTAACCTAGCAGTTCAGCACTCTTTTGTTTGTTTCTAAAGGCCTTTTTTCTATCTCTTAATACTTTGCTTAGTTTCTGAAAAGCATGATGAAATTGTCGACCATTCACTGCCATATAGGAGATTAGATATTATATAATAGTTCAGCACTGTTTTTTTATTTATTTATTTTTCTAAATACATTTTCCTATCTCTTAATACTTTGCTTAGCTTTTAGAAGGCAATGTTTGCTATGCCAATGCGCCTTTGTATTTCCAGTCTTACGGCTGTATCACGTTGAAACACCAGTTCTCGTACGATCACCGAAGTTAAGCAACGCCGAGCCTGGTCAGTACATAGATGGGTAACCACCTTGGAATACTAGTTGATGTATGCTTGGATGTTCGGGCGGTGTCAGAGATTACGGGTCGGAATCATAATCGTAGAACTGAGTTCCAATTCCAGTCGGGTTCGTTATATCCGCTTACTCGGGAAAAATATGAATCCGCCCCTTCCTCCACTCCCACTCCAGATATTGACTACTTAGCAAGAATCGTATCAGTAAATAATTATTATTTCAAAAAGAAATTCCTAGAATCTAATAATATTTCTGGCTTTAATACCGCAATTTCTCGAAAAAAATACGCATTTTTCTTTTTACTGTAAATTCTAGGTGATAGTCGCGGTGCGTATTATAAATAGGTTTAACCAAAAATATTTTTTTCGTTATTGATTTATAATAATAAATACGTATTTGTTGTTCTAAAATAAGAAAGATATTATCCCAATTTTCATTTTAAATACAACAATAATAATTGTAACATTCTTTGTCAATAAATCTATGTTTATCAGTAACCACATTTTTTATTTGATGAAAGAATTAAAAAAAGAACTCTATGAAAAGGTGAATTTCGAAAAAAAGAGGATATCAAGTTAACAATTTATTGAAATTTGAATTTTCATCATCATCATCACCACTTTCTAATATAGAATCAATATCTAAATTGTCATTAAACAAATTATCATCCACAATATTATCTTCGTCCTGTTCAAAATTATCCCCGGTCTCTTCATTCTCTTGCAAAAGGATGTTCGTCAGAGCCATCCAGAGCTCTGTTTCCTATTCTTTCTGCTAATTCTATTACTTTTTGTTTAACATTTGAACTATAACACGCACGTTTTGACAACATTTTGGCGGTAAAATAAAATATTATATTTATCGGGAAAACCGCATTGTAATTTTCAACATTATTTTAGCCGCTTGGTTTCGATTTTATTCTTAATGTCAAGGTCGACAAAATGTCTTCGTAATTTTTTTGTTTTGTTTTTTTGGGGTTTTTTTTCTTTGTTTATTTTTGTTTTTGTTTTTTTTTTGGGGGGGGGTGACAAAATTTATAGCTGCGTATTATATATAGGGATAGATATATTCCTTAATTTTTTGGATCATTTGTTGGGGTTCGTATTATTTATGAGTGCGTTTTATTTTCAAGAAATTACGGTATATCCTGCAAAAGGTTGACAACAAATCTATCAATCAATCGCCTTCCGAGGTCGCATTTTTCGTCCTCTGTTAAAACACTTCTGAGATATTTAAATCTTTGTACTTTTCGATTTTCTCTATCTCTAGTTCGTACCTCGTATCCTGGTATATTACAATTGATGATAACCAGACTGACAGTCTTAAAAACAATAAAAACTTTCTAGTTATGTTTGCTTTTATACCGAGATCGATTAAAGTACGCTATTCAGAATGCAAGGGAGATAATTCAATAAGGAATTTAAGAGTAATGTCCCATGCTTCATACTTTTTCATTTGTTTGACACTTTCGTTTAAAATTAATTGATCTTAAATTTATTCGAGATTTAAATTAAATTTTCTTACAATAAGATTCAAATTTTCAGATATTACAAATTTAACTAAATAGTTAACAAATAACCTTTTAATATATTAAGAAAATAAAACGATGACTCTGTAGCCCCAGCTTAGATTTGGCCGCATTACTCCACTTTTGATTTGATCTGGCTTTTGTTACGATGTGTTGGCATTTTGCAGTAAATATTTAACTACTCCGGGAACATTTGTCCCGCAAACAATATTGGCGGACTCATGTGAGTCCGGGTAAAAATTTTAAAAAATCACAAAACATGGAATTTAAAACAAATGAATCTGTTAACAAAAGGAATTACATGTTTAAACAATTGAAAGTAAAGAAAAAGATATTAAAAACTATATTATTAAGAATTTGCTTGTTTGTTTGTGTGCTACAGGGACAGTGTGTACTACACCCAAACCCCCTTGACCGGGGGAGGATATACCTGGCTTGGGTCCCCGGGAAGTTCTCTGTGACCCTCGCTATCTTATCTACATTTGCTTTTTTCTTTCTACATTTACCGGGTGTAAAAGCAAAATTGTCCAGATCGTGAAACAGCAAAATTGTCCAATTGTTAGATTAAGCTTTGAACCGTTGTATCTTAGGAATGATTAAAGATATTTTACTGGAATTCTCCGGGGTTTTTTATAGCACTGTTGGACTCTACTTTAAAGAATAAGAACGTATATAGCTCTAAGTTGAAATGATGATCCCTCTTGCTGTTATAATCTCCTGATCCTACTGTTCCCTCTTTCTAAACTTATACACCGTTCTCTGGGTGGTTCTTGAATGGATGAAGCCAGAGTATGAATGTTGGTACTATTACTAAAGGCCTGAATGATCTTTTTCTTCTCGCCATTGCTCATTTAGGAAGAAAGTTGGGCTGACACAAAACTATTTTAACCTGTTCGCTTTCTAGCTGAATAACTCAAAGGTTTTTTCAGTGATTTTTACGGCAAATGGTGTCAAGATGACTAAAAAAAATCTTATTAGAAAACCTGGGAAAAGAAAATTAGTTTAGTGGCTTTTGGGGTATTAAACATTTTGTGGGATAGACAATTATCCCATAATGGAAATTTTTCTGTTACACCCGATATATACATTACAAATAAAACTAAGCACAACCGAATATTGAAGGATAAAAAATTTCACTCATTTTGACGTCATTTTGTTTTGTTTTTTTTTTTTGTTTTTGTTTTTGTTTTTTTTTTTTTTTTTTTTTTTCTTTTCTTTTGTTCAAATCCGTGAATTTGTTTTGGGCATGCTAAGTCTTGAAAAAACACGGAATATAAAATTCACTATTTTTACCCATGATGTTGAATATGTTCAAATTCTTCAATTTTTTTAACAAGAAAAATCACAAATTGATGCTAAAAATTGCCGCAAAACATTGTTAATTTATTTAAGATGGAATGATATATTATGACATGTCTCTAATTTGTATTTAGAATTTTTCACCGATATTGCATATGATTTATTATTTTACATAAGATTGCAATAAAAATTGTATTCTATATGAAAATTGAGATGTAGTAGATGGGGGTGGGGGTGTATCATATATTCGAGAGGGGAGGAACGAAACACTTACACTGACCGTGTGTGTATGTGCGTAAGTGTGAGAGTTCAATAGCGGAAACAAACGTATACCAGCAGGGGACGTTCTTTTATCTTTGTGCAACTACATCTGAAAGCAAGAGTATGAAAAAAGAGAAAGAGAGGGGGGAGAAAGAGAGAAAAAGGCTAGAAGAACAAAGAGAAAGGGGGAAGAGAGAGAGAGAGAGAGAGAAAGGAAATATTTAACTTTTTATAGAATTAAATAGCGCCGCCTACTGGGCCTTTTAATTAGGTTTTGTGTAGAAAAGACAGAGGGAAACCACGTCACATCGATGCTGGAACTAAAGAATGAAGTTCATAAGAACAGTTGTCAGGGAAATCGCGATAAAGTAGTGAGAGGCTTGCAACTTTGCGTCTGTGAAGAAAGGTGTTGTAGGGTGGGAAATATGTAATCTTGACAAAACCGAATAAACGATGTTGAACTCTGAAAAGTGAGGCTTCAGCAGATCCAGTGCAAACCTAGTATTAATAGTTCATTTTGGGCTTGATGTCTAATATGACTCTTGTAAAGAGAAAGCATGGTAGACGGACTCAGATACTTCATGGACCGGTAAAATAGTGGTGAGTGAAGCTAAGGCACCAAACCGTATTAATATTTAGTAATTACTCTTAGCTAAAACAATAAATAAGCCAAAAATAAGCATTTAGAAGCCCAAAATCTCCAAAACTGCTTTGATTCAAAGAGGAAATTATGATAGATAGATAGATAGATAGATAGATAGATAGATAGATAGATAGATGTGAAGTGTTAGATAAATAGATGTGAAGTCTTAGTTAAATACATAGATGTGACGTCTTAGATATATATAGAGAGAACTGTGAAGTGTTAGATAGAGAGAAAGATGTAAAGTCTTAGATAGATAGATAGATAGATAGATAGATAGATAGATAGATAGATAGATAGATAGATAGATAGATTTGATCAGACTGAGATAGATAGATATAAACAAAGGGTGATAGATAGATAGATAGATAGATAGATAGATAGATAGATAGATAGATAGATAGATAGATAGATAGATGTTTGGTCAACATTCACATAACCTACCTGTGGTTTATACTACAACTCCTCTGAGCGGATCTTAGTTGCAGTTTCTGGGAGATAGCATAAAATCTGTCATGTACTAGGACAGCCATCAACGGCTTTCGAAAACTACTTTCTCCCCAATGTTGATCCTTGACTAGCTGAGTTCAAGGAAACATTCACATAAGTGACATAAAGTGGCAATATTATATTGAATTAATTGCTAAGTCTGCGGCTAAGAAAGCTTGTTCACTATGTCTTGTTAGACAATCTTTCTCGTCAGAATCTATCTTACATATTTATAAGTCTACCATTCCTCCTTGCTTTGAACATTTCTGGCACATCTGGTCTGGTGTCCCTGCTATATATTTAGAGATTCTTGATAAAATCCAAAGAAGAATCAGCAATGTTATCGGTCTTGACCTGGCATCTCGGCTTCAGTCCCTTTCACACCGCCGTAACGTAGCTTCCCTGTGCCTTTTCTATAAATACTTTCATGGTATTTGTTCTGATTAACATTCCGCTATGGTACTTAGACATAATGATTTTAAACTCAGTACTAGATTGGTGACAAGGTCTCATCATCTTATAGTTGAAGTGGTTAGATACAACCGAAAGTTCTATGCTAACAGTTTCTTCTATAGCACGTTTTGCTTGTAGAAATCTCTCCCGGCTTCTTGCTTTCCAGTCAACTTTGATCTATAAAAATTTAAATGCAATGTCAGTCGTTATCTTCTATCTTCTTAATTCTTGTTACTTTATTATCCTCTCTGTCCGAGAGGAACACGGCATGGATCAAAAGTGAAAGAAAGAAAGAAAGAAAGAAAGAAAGAAAGAAAGAAAGAAAGAAAGAATATGAATAGATTAAGATAGATTATAGATAGATAGATAGATAGATAGATAGATAGATAGATAGATAGATAGATATTCAAAGGCTGACATAGATAGACACATAGATAGATATACAAAGACTGATAGATAGATAGATAGATAGATAGATAGATAGATAGATAGATAGATAGATATACAAAGACTGACATAGATAGATAGATAGATAGATAGATAGATAGATAGATAGATAGATAGATAGATAGATAGACAAAGACTGACATAGATAGATAGATAGATATACAAAGACTGACATAGATAGATAGATAGATAGATAGATAGATAGATAGATAGATAGATAGATAGATAGATAGATAGATATTCAAAGACTAACATAGATAGATATACAAAGACTGATAGATAGATAGATAGATAGATAGATAGATAGATAGATAGATAGATATTCAAAGACTAACATAGATAGATATACAAAGACTGATAGATAGATAGATAGATAGATAGATAGATAGATAGATAGATAGATAGATATTCAAAGACTGACATAGATAGACACATAGATAGATATACAAGGACTGATAGATAGATAGATAGATAGATAGATAGATAGATAGATACTGACATAGACACATAGATAGATATACAAAGACTGATAGATAGATAGATAGATAGATAGATAGATAGATAGATAGATATCCAAGGATCGAAAAAGTTTATTTAAATTAATGAAAAAGAAATCTGTCTTTAACAAATGTTCTGTATTCATTTTTTCTTTAAACCGAATTTCATTTTATTCATTATTTATTTACTTTATTTTAATTTCTTTCTGGCATTTTTCAAATCAGCCGACACCTGAAATTCAATTCTACACCTTTTCCCCTCCCCTCCCCTCCCCTCCCCAATCCACCCAAACCTTTAAAGCAGACCACCTACTTTCTGCCAACATTCGGCAAATGATATGCCCACCTGTCCAGGTGTTTACTTAGAAAATTTATTCACAAGAATGTAACTTACTCACTTGTAGATGAAATGTCAGTCCGGACTGATATAGAAAAATAAAGACTTCTTGTCCGCATTTTGTCACAGTCGTTAAGGAACACCAAGATCTGAACCAGGAGAAGAAGAAAAGTTAAGGAATTTCAAAGTTCCTATTATAGAAATAAATATGGTCTGGTTTTGGAGTTTAATAAAATCGAAAGTGTAATCGGATCCAAGATTTTCTACGAAGAAAAACTGACAAGGAAGAATTTGGTTTGATTTTTGTTTTTTGGAATATGGATTTAAGAGAGAGTCAAGACAAGTTATGGCTGAAAAAGGTAAACATTATTTATCGATTTATTTATTTAATCTCTACAATCAGTTTCAGGTATCTATCTTGGAATATTCCAGTTCAATGTCTGTACATGAAAGTTGTGGTGCTCGATCATATATATATATATATATATATATATATATATATATATATATATATATATATATATATATATATAAAAAAAAACAGTAAGATATTATAATCCGGTGTTCTTATTGATATTTTTATTTTACAAAATCGTGCTCAATGTAAATTTACAGAGCATTTTATTCGCTTGAGGATGAAATGGAACTAATATTTTTAATTTAATTACAAAATTAAATTTGAAGCTTTTAGCTTCCATTTTTGAATCATGGTTATTACTGTGTAGCGGAAAACCATATTTTAAATCAGTTAATTTATAATATATATATATATATATATATATATATATATATATATATATTCATGCATGTTAAATGAATATATAAAGTTTTGTTAAATTCAACTGACATGTTTGTCTGCTTAATTTTTATCGTATTTTTCTAATTTTTCATGTTGTTTTCAAGGTGACTCATATTGTGTGTTAGACGGCAAATCAAAATGAAGGTTTAATTGTTCAAATTTGATGTCTTTATTCTGTTTGGGTTCGAGTACTAATGACCACAAGAACTTCTTCTCGGTATGGTAGACAATATTCTGTTGGTTACGTCTTGTTATTTTTATTTATTTATTTATTTTTATTTATTTATTTTTTTGTTTTTTGTTTTTTGAATGCTACCTTTTAAATTTGATTTGGATATACAAGTTATTTGAAAATTACAAAAGTACGATAAAGAATTAAACAGAGAAATCGTTATGTGCCGTGTCCCCTCAGGGCGTAGGCGATTATGGCTCTCCATAATTTCCCATCCCTTGCAGCTCTTAATAAATGCTACTTTTCTTTATTCTTAAGCCCTATTCCGCGAACCATTTTTCTCAAGCTCGTCAAGTATGTTATAAGTTGTTTTCCTCTGTCCCTCTTGCTCTCAATCTGCCCTGTCAGTATCGTATTTTCCGAGCCCTCCTTCCTCATTATGTGCCCTCTAAATTTCAGCAGTTTCTTCCTTATGTTAAGCATAAGTTTTAGCCAATTGAATCTAACTAAACTTTTTTAATGAATCCTTAAGTACACTTTATTATTGGTCCTGACCTGGCATCTCGTCTTCAGTCACTTTCCCACTGCCGTAATGTAGTTTCCCTGTGTCTTTTCTAAAGATACTTTCATGTTAAGTGTTCTGATGAACTTTCCGCTATGTAATCTAGACTTTATGACTAGTACTAGATTGGCGGTTAGGGCTCATCATTTTACAATTGAAATGGCGAGATGTAACCTGACCATAAGTTCTATGCTAACAGTTTTTTTTCACGTACTTCTCGCTTGTGCAACTCTTTTCAGGTTTCCATGCATTCCAAATAACTTTGACCTTCAAAGATTCAAATGCAGTGTCAGTCGCTATCTACTGTCTTATTGATTCCTCGTCTTTTATTGTTCCCGCTCCTTAATAATATTTCTCTTATTTCTCATTCTCACACACTCAGTAACCCCTTGCATCTTAGTGGCTTTACTTCCTTTCATTGGGGGAAATGATTAAAAAAAGACGATATTGTTGATGAAGTTTTAAAAGAACTGTCCATAGTTTGTGCTCGTTCTTGTTAAGGTTCTAAGCATTCGACTGTCTAAAGAAATGTCCATATTTGGTGTTAGTTAGTTGAAAGATTGGAATCATAACAAGGTCTGTCGGCAGTTCTTTTACAATTTCATGACTAAAGTATGGAAGCAAATCTGTCTTTCACATTTATAAGTCAACCATTCGTCTGTGTATTGAATATTGTTGCTACATCTGGTGTGGTGCTTGTGCTATTTAGCTAGAGATTCCTGACAAAATCCAAAGAAAAATCTGCAATATTATCGGTCATGATCTTCTTCAATCATTTTCCTATCTCATCGCTTTCCTGTAACGCTAGATTGGCGGATAGGTCTCATCGTTTTAGTGTTGAAATAACTATATGCAACCGTAAGTTCTATTCTAATGGTTTCTTCTCTCGCAATTTCTTACCTGTGGAACTTTCTTCCAAGTTCTTTCTTTTCTGTCAAGTACGGTCTTCAAAAATGCAAATGCAACCTCAACTAACATCTTCTGTCTCCTTGAATCCTGTTTTTTTATTACCTGTTCTCCTCGAGAACGTTTTCTCAGTTTCCTTTATTCTCACTAACAATTTGTGTCTTAGCGGCTTTATTGCCTTGCTTTGAATGAAATGATTAATTTGTCAAGAAGAAAACTTATTAAAAATATGAGCAACATAACTTGTCAGTTGTCCTAAATAAAACTTGTTTGAATGAACACCGGCTTCCTAGACACACCCAATATATATATATTTATGTCTGCGTGTGTGCGCGCGCGCATGTATGTACGTGTATGTGCACTTGCGGGCGTGTACTTGTATATATGTGAGCACGTATGTATACGTGTATGTGCAAATAGTTTGAAGGTTTCGCCCAATTTTTGGGAAATGAGTGGGACAAGAATTTTTCCTCACCCCCTTTATATATATATATATATATATATATATATATATATATATATATATAATGGACGCTTGTCTACTAAGGATACTAGCAAATCCCTGTTGCAGACGCCTGGTCAGGTGTATTTGTGGTTGTTCAACACCGCAGAGCCCACCTATGGTTTCTACTGCAACTATGCTGATCGGACGGACCTTAGTTACAGTTTCTGGGAGAGACTGCATTATCTGGCGTGATCAGTCATCTGAACAAGGCCAGCACGCTCAAATCTTCGGTCACGATGACTTGTGACTTCGTCCTAGCACAGC